CCATCCATCCATCCATCCATCCATCCATCCATCCATCCATCCATCCATCCATCCATTAATCCATTCAGAGACGCGTCTCTCTCTATCTATCTATCTACATAGCCTGACTGCCCTGAACTGGAACTCACTAAGTAGACAAGGCTGGCTTTGAACTCACAGAGATCCACTTTCCTCTGAGGCTGCGTGCTGCGATAAAAGGCGTGTACCCACACGCCCAGCAACTTTCTGTTCTTTTTAATAGCCACGTGTGTCGTTAGGAATTAAATTCCTTCCAGTGTAGAAAACAGATTGTATTTAAAACGTAGCAGGCAACGCAGCCAATGACTTGTCCACATTCACAGAGCAAGAGTAGAGACAGAACCTGGGCAGTGTTAGCTTCTTTACTCATTTGTGCTAAATTTATTTACAGGGTCACCTGGCATTGTTTCTCAAAACGCAGCGAAGGAACACAGGCCTCGGAATCATGCCTACAGGCTCTCTGAGGCAGACCCTAGAAATCCGCATTCTTACAAGCTCCTGAGGAAACTGTCCCGCACACGAACGTTTCAAAGACTACTGTGCCCTGGGTGACAGCAGCACGTCAAAAACCGCCTTGAACAAATTCCTGGGTTTAAGGTTCCCGCAGCCTCATGGGAAATGTAGTTTCGGCTGGCCTTCCCGCCTCAAGTCTCTTGGAGAGCTCGCCGGAAGGAGCCGAGCCAATGCGGAAACAACCGAGTGTTCCGAGGCGGGCCTTTTCCTGCTCGATTGCATGCTGGGAAAGGGCAGTTTCCGTTAGCTGCTGAAGGCTGAGGCGCGCCACCGGCCACCTCCCCACGTGAAGCAGTTGTGCGAGCATCGCCACGCCGGGCAGCTGTCTACCCGCGTCCGAGCGCCCCGGAAGCCGCGGGGGACCGGAAGTGGCCCACGGAGGCTGCAGAGCTAGTCCGGGAGCCCGCTGTGAGGCGACTGGCAGCGCTGCGACGGCGCCATGTCCCTGATCTGCTCGAGTGAGTGCTGGCTGCGGCGGGAGGCGGGAGGCGGGAGGCGGGAGCGTGGCTGCGGCCCGGGACCCGGAGCCCGCGGTCCTACGTGCGGGGTGCATTTGCGCAGTGCTGCGCAATTCATGTAGCTGGGAAAAATGACTGTCGTTGTTTTACTGAGCCGAGACAGACCTGAACAGAGCAGAGGGGAGGGCGAGGGGGGAGTGGTGCAGGGAAAAACAGCTCTTGGTGTCAGAAACCCGAGGATTTGCCCAGGATCCACCTTCCACTGTGATCTGGGCTATGGCGGTCTGGACCTCAGTTTCCCTATCTGCAGCATTGAAAGCGTTGCAGTGGGTATTGCTCAAGAACGTCGCTTAGGAATCGAAGTTTCTGCGATTTTGCAGAACACGCAGTGACTTCGAGACAGGGCTGGAAGCCAGGTGTCTGGCATCTAGCCTCGCGCAGTATGACTAATGAAAACAGCGAACGTTTAGAAAACCTGTACTGATTTACGACGCATCTCCAAACGATGATCTCATTTTATGCTTACAAGAATTATCTGAAGGGAAATAAAGACCTGTGGTTTAGAGAGGGCGTCATAAGTCTTAGGAAGAATGGGGGTTACCCAGGGATGTGTGGCACAGTTGGGCGATGGAGCTCGGTTCTTTGAGCCGGGATCCATGCTGTACACTGTCTTGTCTTTGGGTATTTTATTACGGCATTGCGGGTGTTTACCTTCTTGTTTGCCACATTACTAGCTTCCCCTCCCTCTCTATTCTTTTCTCAGAACGTTGCCATTAATTCAAAGAGGGAAAGAAAGGAGGGAAATGACAAACAGAAAAGGGAATCTCACACTGAAGAAATTGCAGTTTGCAAAGTATTTTCCAACTATTTGTTTCCTTTTAATCTTGAGAGAGCACTCTTACATGCCCTGGGCCATCCTTCCTTTTGCAGGGGAGGAAAAACTCCCTCAAGTGTCCAGTATGCGAGATAAACCAACAGGATAGCACAGGAAAGCCACATTTCCTTCCATACTTGATTACATATGCTTGGGAGGCCTGCAAAAATAGGTGACTCCGAGGGAAGCTTATACAGAACCTGTGCTACAGAAAAGAATGGGAGCTTGAAGCCTTGAGATGTGACTCACAAGTTCTGGGAGGGTGAGCAAAATTATGTGGTGAATAGGAGCTGTTTTGTTATGTGCTAAGTCTCTTGGACTGTAAATATTTTAGAGCAGACCTCAGGAGAGTCTGAGCGTGGAGGTGGCTTTCACTTGTCTGCTAAGGTAAACCAGTTGTCCCTGTTTAGGGGAAGTTAGAGAAACAGGAGGGCCAGAGAAGGTCACAGAGACCTTGGTTCTGAGCTTGCTTTTGAGGCCTTCATTTTGGGTAGTTCAGCATGCCCAGGTCCAGTACTTTAGTATCTGCATTGTCCTGGAGGTCAGTGACAGCTGTGTCGCCCATCTTCAAGGGTACACAGGCTATTCTGTCAAGTGCCTAGAATAGAATCTTGCTTGGCACATAGTGGCAGACACTATGGAAAGTTTTTTTTTTAATTTTTTAAAAAATTTATCAGTGATTGTTAGGTTGCTTTTTAATTTTTCTGCCTGTTTTTCCATGTAGGGCTCCAGAGGAATGACAGGGCTTTGAGTTGTGCTGTGTGTAGTTGTTTGTCATGTTCCTGGCCATCTTTGTTCAAACATGAGGTGGGCAGAGCTTACTGCCCACTCTTTACAGGATTGGCACATGGGATCTGGGCAGTTATTATTTATTTCATTTTATTATTGGCAGACTAGAGAATCTAGTTAAGTGGTTGGCAAGCATTGTAGAACCAAGAGCCAGCTAGCTTGTTGTCATAGACGTTGCTTCCTGATAGCTGAGTATGAGGACAGGGTCTTCTTAGGGGCTGACACAACAAAGAGTCCCCTGTAGCCCAGGTCTTCTTTTACCCTGTGCTCACTACTGCCTTTCTCTATAGTCTCCAACGAAGTGCCAGAGCATCCATGCGTGTCCCCTGTCTCTAATCATGTGTATGAGCGGCGACTCATTGAGAAGTACATTGCAGAGAATGGCACAGATCCTATCAACAACCAGCCTCTCTCAGAGGAGCAGCTCATCGACATCAAAGGTGCCTACCCGATAGCCTGAGTCCAGGGCCAGCTCAGCTCAGCCTTCGAGAGTGGGAGGTGGGGCCAGTCTGATGGAGAAGATGGTGACTGGATGAATAAAGAGAAGAGGGAAGGAGGAGGGTCCTTGGGTTCTGGTTCTTCACACCTGCTTTGCTGCCTTTCTTGGCAGTTGCTCACCCAATCCGGCCCAAGCCTCCCTCTGCCACCAGCATCCCAGCCATTCTGAAAGCCTTGCAGGATGAGTGGGTGAGTTCTGTGAAGGGAATGCACCTCTGAACCTGGGGGTTGAAAAGATGGGACCTCCCACCCTCTTTGCTTTTTTTAATTGTTTATTCTATTTTATGTTTGGGTCTTTTGCTTATGTGTATGTCTGTGTATCACTCGTGTGCCTGGTGCTTGGGAGGAAGGGAGAGGGTGTGTGATCCCTTGGAATTGCAGTTACAGACAGTTGTAAGCCACTATGTGGGTTCTGGGAATTGAACCTCTGGAAGAACAGCAAGTGCTCTTAACTCCTGAACCTTCTCTCCAGGCCCTCTTATTTTCTTGAGCTAGGACCTTGCTTTGTGGCCTTGACCGGTCTGGAACTCATGATTCTTCTTCCTTAGCCTCCTAGTGCCTAGGGTTACAAGAGCCCACTACCAGGCCTGGCTCTTCATGGGGGTTGAACACAGGTCTAATGTAAATGCTGTGCTGCTGAGCATCTGCTCAGTTCTTGCCAGCCATACTTCGTTTGTGCAGGGCAGGGTGGCAGCACAAGAGGAGTCTGGTTGTTGGAACTCTTGCACACCTGGATTCCAGAGTTTTCTCCACTGTCGGCCTTTGTGACATGGGACACACTGCTTAGTCTCTGACCTTCCTGACTTTAGGACACTGATTAGTCCTGTCTGTCTGGATGCTATAAGAAGTAGAATAAAACTGACATATTTGTGTTGTAACATAGGGACTCTTCTTCATTACTGAACACTGCACTTGCCGAGGGTAGCCAGTAAATAACCACAGCAGTGTTATTCTTTCAGAGAAGTGGTGGCATTAACACCTGTGATTTGCTGGTGACTAGCAAAGGTGGGGGTGGGAAGGAGCTAGCTCTCACTTCTGTCTGTGTGTCCAGGGTGTGGTGTGTTGTAGGAGCTTCAGTGCCTTACAGGGGATTGTCATTCGGATGATAGCTTGGGTCTCTGAGCTGCTCAAGTTGGTTTCCATGTAGAATAGGAGGTGGTGTCCTCTTCTCTGGCCAAGTTGTCCAGCTCCCCCCCAGTCCTCACAGTCGTCTGCCCTCTCCCAGGATGCAGTCATGTTGCACAGCTTCACGCTTCGCCAGCAGCTGCAGACGACCCGCCAGGAGCTGTCCCATGCTCTGTACCAACACGATGCTGCCTGCAGAGTCATTGCCCGTCTCACCAAGGAAGTCACTGCTGCTCGAGAAGGTGTCTCTTCCCGCTGTCCCCCACCTTTGCTGGCCTTGCTTTGTTATGTTCCATTTCTAACATAATCTTTTCTCTCAGCTCTGGCTACTCTGAAACCACAGGCTGGTCTTATTGTGCCTCAGGCAGTGCCAAGCTCACAGCCCAGTGTTGTGGTAAGTGTTCCCTTCCAAGCCCAGTAACTGTCCTTCCACGGGTACCTTTGGTATTGTGAGTTCCTCCCACTCTCTCTTTCTTTTCTACAGGGTGCAGGAGAACCCATGGATTTGGGTGAGCTGGTGGGAATGACCCCTGAGATTATCCAGAAGGTGAGTCATATGCTGTTCTGTTGGAACTGCCACATGCCCTCCCTTAGTGCCATGGGGGCCAGAGTAGGAATCTCACACTGAGCATTGGGAAGAGCCTGCACTACTACTGAGCTCTCTGACTAGGCTTACTGTAGCCTACCTTGTCTGTCTCATTTCCCTTGCTTCTAAATAGAGTGCGGTGTCTACTTCACTGGCTCGTTGTAGGAGAGATGTAATTACTGATAAGGGCGGCTCTTAGCTCTTGCCGTTTTGTGTGTGTGTGTGTTCTTTGCTGATGTTCTGCCACTTTGTTACAGTTTTCGAGGGTTTTGCCTACAATATATAAGTTATCTGAAGCTGGAAGTCAGAGCTGAGACTTCCAGACTGCAACCCAGGGTTTTCTTGAATGTACAGTCTGCATCTGTAGGGTCCAACAGTATCTGAGCAGCTCATCTGAGCTCTCATATTCGGTCCCAGAGCACAACAGCCTAGCTCTGCCATTTTAGTGACCTTGGCAAGGGGGCTCTTACTCTAGCTTTGGAACCTGTCCCGAAATTCACTCTAGACCAGGCTGGCCTCAAACTTACAGAGATCCACCTATCTCTGCCTCCCCAGTGCTGGGATTAAAGGTGTGCACCACCACCACCTGGCTACAGGGGTTCTTTCGATGATCAGTTTCCTCAGCTACACCATAAGGTCATGGATACCCCACCTTGTAAGATTGAAGTGGAAATGTGTCAGCTTTTAGCACATAGCTTGGCAGATAGCATGTTTTTGGTGATGATTGTGACACCAGATATACCAGCACCCAGTGTGTTTTGTTCTTGCAAAATCATTTGTCTCAGAAAATTGTGCTCTCCACAGCTTCAAGACAAGGCTACTGTGTTAACCACGGAGCGTAAGAAGGTGAGTTGATGCCTGGTATGAGCACTTGACTTCTGGGAGGAGGAGATAGTTATAGTTGAAGCCTGATTTCATGACTGCTCTTTGGGGGCTTTCTCTTTTCTCAGAGAGGAAAGACTGTGCCTGAGGAGTTAGTGAAGCCTGAAGAGCTCAGCAAGTACCGGCAGGTGGCGTCTCATGTGGTAAGTAGCTGGGAGTGGCCCTTACTGTTTCTAGGACAAGGTGGGCCAGTATGAGGAGCAAGGGGAAACACTGCTCAGACCTCTGGCATGGTGTCTTGCCATGCAGTGAGGGAGTTGCTGCGTCCAGGCAGCCAGCCAAGCTAGATAGATAAGGGATAAAATCCACTCTTGTTCCTTGGCTGGGGAGGAATATGAGGGTGTGGGGAAGAGGAGTGCAGGAGCTGTGTGGTTCTCTGGCCTGCCTCAATTTGGCTGTGATTGGGTTTTGTGTGATTCTTCTGCAAAGGGGCTACACAGCGCTAGCATTCCTGGGATCCTTGCTCTGGACCTCTGTCCTTCAGACACCAACAAGATTCTCACTGGTGAGTCTGGGCCTGGCCCGACAGGCCAAGGTGAGGGGTGGCAGGAGCAAGGGAGGTGCAAGTCTCTGGTCCTCTGCATGGATTTAAGGACAGAAAGACCTTCTTTAGCACAGGGATCCTGTGATTCATTTTTTTGTCTTTTTTGGAACATCTCCAGGTGGAGCAGATAAAAACGTTGTTGTCTTTGATAAGAGTACTGAGCAAATTCTGGCCACTCTCAAAGGCCATACCAAGAAGGTCACCAGCGTGGTGTTTCATCCTTCTCAGGTAAGGTTCTCTCACAGCCACTCCCGTCCTTTCCTAAGTGCAGTTCCAGGGTTTGAGTCTCAGAGATAATTGCCCAGCCCCCACTGTCTTGATGAAGTGGGCACTGATGGGTCTCTGTGTAGAACACCAAAACAGTGGCCCTCAAACCAGAGGAGAAAGAAAATGCAACCAACAAACCATATTCACATCAATTTTGCATTAGGAAAAGGAAACAACCATCCTAAAGGGTTTATAGATAACTACAGACAGTAAAACTCCATGTAGTCCTGACTGCCTGCCTCACATGACCCCGTAGGGTTGGGCTCAAAATTTAATGTTGACTATTGAAAGTAGTGTGAGTTCAAATAGGAGAGAACCACTGGCTTAGAGGATAAAGGTAGCTCATTAGAGGAGGTTAGTGGTCTCGTAAGACTTGAGACAAAAGTGCAGTGATGTGGTGTACAGCTGCATGGGGTGCTGGGGCACTGCCTCCCAGTTAAGTCTTTCTCTTAGACATAAGGAACTGAGAAATAGAGGAATATGTCTTAATGTGAAGAAATCATACCAAGATCACAGCAACTCTTTTTTTGTTGTTTGTTTGTTTTGCTTTTTAAAGACAGGGTTTCTCAAGCCAGATGGTGCACGCCTTTAATCCCAGCACTCAGGAGGCAGAGGCAGGCAGATCTTTGTGAGTTCAAGGCTGTCCTGGTCTACAAGAGCTAGTTCCAGGACAGGCTCCAAAGCTACAGAGAAACTCTGTCTCAAAAAACAAAACAAAACAAAAGGATAGGGTTTCTCTGTGTAGTCCTGGCTGTCCTAGAACTTGCTCCGTAGACCAAACTGGCCTCAAACTCACAGCGATCCACCTGTCTTTGCCTCCCTAGTGCTGGGATTAAAGGCGTGTGTGCCACCACTGCCTGGCTTCACAGCAGATCTTAATAAAAGGAAGCGTTGAGGGATTGCTTACAGTTTCACATGCTAGTCCATTTTTAGCATGGCAGGGAGCATGGTGGCAAGCATGGCAGTGGGACAGTGGCTGAGGGCACATCCTGATCTGCAAGGAAAGAGACAGACACACACACTCTGGGTTTGGCATGGCTTTTGAAACCTCAGAACCAGTCCACCTCCAGTGAGGTATTTCCTCCAACAAGGCCACACTTCTAATCCTTTCAAATAGTGCCACTTCCTGATGACTAAGTATTCAAATATGAGCCTGTAGGGGCCATTTGTATTCAACCACCACAATTATAGCAAACTGAAAAACAAATTCAAAATGAAAGCACTATTTTCTATTTATTTGGTGTTTTGATTTTTATGAATATGTGTTAATGAATGATGATAGTTGCTTTTATCTTCTGTCTCTTACTCTCCTAATTAGTCAAAATAATTTGTTATGGAAACTAAATAAGCTTTCTATCTGTCCCGTGTCTTTTGGACAGTCAGCTTGCCCTTGAGGTCTCTGACCATTTCAGCAGCATTCTCTCTTGGCTTTCTTAGGCACTGTTGTTCGGATAGGTAGTTACAGGCAGGGAATAGAAGGAGAAGCAGTTGCTTATAGTTTGTGACTGTCCTTTCTACAATACAAAAGAGTGTTATAGTACATTTCACTTCTTGGGCTCTGATTCTTGGTCGCTTTCCTTTCAGGAACTGGTGTTTTCTGCATCCCCAGATGCCACTATCAGGATTTGGTCGGTCCCAAACACCTCTTGTGTACAGGTTGTTCGGGCCCATGAGAGCGCAGTGACAGGCCTCAGCCTTCATGCTACTGGAGATTATCTCCTGAGCTCCTCTGATGATCAGGTGCAGTCCCAGCCAGGGCCCTAAGGAGGCTGCTTAGGAGGGAGGGGGGCATCTTGCTGTGGGGCAGCCAGATTCCCAGAGTTCTAAAAATGTTTCTTCTCTGTTGTGGGAGCTAACTTTGCCAGCAGGAGCTGAACCAGGGTCTCTGTTGAAGGCCAGCAGACCCACTTTCTCATTGTCTTCTTTGTCTCCTCTCCAGTACTGGGCCTTCTCTGATATCCAGACAGGGCGTGTGCTTACCAAGGTGACTGATGAGACATCCGGCTGCTGTAAGTGGCCTAAGAGGCACTGAGCTCTTTAGTTTGCAGTGTGTCGTTAAGTTTTACCTAGTCATTTGTTTATCTGTTCTAAAGACAGTGCCTACCACTGGCACCAGTATAGTGACCACCGTGGCTGTTGACTACAGATCCCTCTCTCCTTTCCTCAGCTCTTACCTGTGCACAGTTCCACCCTGATGGACTCATCTTTGGAACAGGAACCATGGACTCCCAGATCAAGATCTGGGACTTGAAGGTAGGACAGTGAGGCCTCTTCTGTGACTCAGAGGGAGAAGGAACTGATGAGTTGTGGCAGTAGCCCTGGGATATCTCAGGGCTTAGGAGAGCCTGACTGTTTGTGTGGCTGCTGAATGTCACCAAGTAACTGGGTACACAGGACATCTCAGAAGTTTGCTTCCTGTCTTGACCAGTGAGTGATAATTGTATTGCCAACTCCCACCTGTAGGAGCGTACCAATGTGGCCAACTTTCCTGGCCATTCTGGCCCCATTACCAGCATCGCCTTCTCTGAGAATGGGTACTACCTGGCCACAGCAGCCGATGACTCTTCAGTCAAGCTCTGGGACTTACGCAAGCTGAAGAACTTCAAGACACTGCAGCTGGACAACAGCTTTGAGGTGCCTCCCTGGTTTTAGTTGTCTCTTCTCGCTCACCGATAGTTTGAGTTCATGGAAGCTGCTCCTGTTTGTTCCCAGTTCTGTGGCTTTTGGTCATTTGTGTAATTGCCTTTCTTTGGGGTTTGGCAGGTGAAGTCACTGATCTTTGACCAGAGTGGTACCTACCTGGCTCTTGGGGGTACAGATGTCCAGATCTACATCTGCAAACAGTGGACAGAGATTCTTCACTTTACAGGTAGAGGTTGGCTGTGGCTTATCAGGGCCTTGTACATCTCTAGAGAAAAGTGGAGAAGCTTCACTGAGGGTGAAGCTTGGCTTGGCCCAAACTATTCTTTCCTTCCTCGTTGCTGTCCTGGGAGCAGAACCAGCCAAGTTTTCTACTGGGTCCAACCCCCAGGCTATTTATATTTGGGGGCAGTAGAGCATTGTAGCCTAGGAAGAGTATTTGTGAGTCTCTTTGACTATGATTAGTGTTATCAGCTGTACTCTCCCAAATTTGTGTTAACGGGAAAATTGGAATGAAAAGTTCAGACACTCTGGGAAATACCGGGATTCACATGAAAGTACCTGTGACCTGTAGGTTAGAAGTCTTATGGGATGTTTGGTATTGGGTCTTGATTTGAACAATGAGTAAGAACCAGTCAGGGCAGTAATGAAGTTTTTATTATTTGTTTGTTTGTTTGTTTGTTTTGTTTATATGGAGACAGGGTTCCTCTGTGTAACAAGCCTTGCTGTTCTGGAACTCACTTTGTAGACCAGGTTGGCGATGAACTCACAGAGATCCGCCTGCTCTGTCTACTGAGTGCTGAGGTTAAAGGCATGCACCACTATACCCAGCATGTTTATTTTTTTGTGAACTTTATTGGGGTCTATCATGGGTGAGTGATGAAGTTTGTAGTCAAGTTAGGAAGGGCTGGTGGAAGCTGATTTAGTAGTTTGTTTTCCTTTGTATGGAGATGGAGTCCAGGGCCTTTCCCACAGTAGCAAGTGTTCAAGTCCCAACACAAATACTTAGGGCAACTAGAAGAATAAAGAAAAGTCAGACTGACACAGTGCTGCCCAAAAGGCTTTCTCACTTTGAAGTCGCCTGTGGCCTTGTAGCTATAGCTTCAACTTTAGGGGATTTTGCTGGGTGTAATAACTCATACCTGTAATGCCAACTCTTGGTAGCTAGACAATGACCTTGAGTTTAGTTCAACTAGGAGCACAGAGGGTTTTATTCTGGAGAGTTGGGGAACACGGGTATTTTTCTAAGTCTAAAAGGAACTTGCCCTAGTTCTCCAGCTATCTGAGTCCTGTGAGGATAGCTCAGCTTTGTCTATACTGAATACAGCCCTGTGCTGTGTGCCCTGGACTTTGACAACTTTGAGCTAGAACCGACTAATGGACAAGAGCTAAGTCCAGACATAAAACCAAGTGAGCACTGGGGTTTCCAGCTGTAGTGTGCTTGCCCAGAAAGCTCAGGTGAAAGGGGATTGGTATTCCTCTATTCATCCACCCAGTCCAACAAAAGATTGAGTGCTGCTTCCTGCCAGGTGCTGAGTGCTGGCTAAAAATAAGTGGTGAACCGAATCCTGCCTCAGGAGGGTGTCTTACAGTGCATTCTGACCCTTACATCTGGGTTTCTGCCGGGATCATGGCATTCAGAGTCATTGTTAAGCCCTGAAGAAGAAACAGCCTTCTCATAATTCCCTTTTCTCTCTCCTCAGAGCATAGTGGCCTGACCACTGGAGTGGCCTTTGGGCACCACGCCAAGTTCATCGCTTCAACGGGCATGGACAGGAGCCTCAAATTCTACAGTCTGTAGGCCCTATGCCTTCTCACAATTCTGGGCCTCATCTCAGTAGTGGGTTAGATTTAGGGGGGTGGGGGGACTTTAGGAGGAGGGAGGTCTGGTGGGGGGGGACATTCACATCATTTCATTCTGGTCTGGATGATGGTCTGAGCCAGGGCACATGGAGCACCGCTATCCATGCAGCCTTCAGGCCCCAGAAAACGAACATGGAGGAACTGTCACCCTGTAAGTGCTCAGAGTCGGAGTCCAGCACCTCTTCCCAGTAGTGGCAGCTGTTCCATGCCTGCTCTGTTTCAGCTCTTCTGAGACAGGGAGGTGAGCCAAGGGAACTGTGAAGGGAGGGGCAGGAGGGCTTGTGCTGGTTTTTGTAAGCAGTGATCTAGTTTCATTAAAAAAAAACTCACACAGTAAATATATTGTCATCTTCTTGAGTCTGTCTACCAGAGAAACCCTGAGCTGGGAAGGTCATGGGGAGGGAGTACAGTGTGGGACACTGGCTATCAGGATGCCTCCCCTGCACCAGAAGTAAAGTAAAAGCCTAGAAGCCAGTTGTCAGGTCTCCTATGCTCAGGCAGTCCTTGACCTTGTTTCCAGTGCCTCTGTCACTCGTGCTGTGCTTGCCCCTGGCCCGACTTCTCACAGCCTGAAAGGTGGTGGGGAATTAGATAGCCTTAGCCTGCGCATGGGTGCTGGGAGAGGACTGCTAGGAATGCTTCAGTTGTAGGTGACACAAACTGGTTGCCAGCTGGCTTGGCCAAAGAGACTTTCTTGACTTACAGCTGCTCCCAGGGGAAACAACTAATGCACAGTAAATAAAAAGTTAGCTGATGATGCCAGGTGGTGGTGACGTATGCCTTTAATTGCAGCACTCAGGAGGCAGGGGCACTGAGTTCAGGCAGATCTCTGAGTTCGAGGCCAGACTAGCTTGGTCTACAGAGCGAGTTCTAGGACATCTAGGGCTGTTAGACAGAGATACCCTGTTTAAAAAAAAAAATGGTTAGATGATAACACAGGGAGATTAATGTAGGGTCCTGTGACTGCTCTACAATTGGAAGGTACCTGGAGTGGGGGGGAGCAGGAGGGCTGAAGGGGAAGAGGACAGTTGTAGGAAGAAGGGAAGAAGGTAGGTTCTGAGGTTGAGATAAAGGAGGTGTGGAGTGGGAGGAGTTAACTATGGTTGGCGTAAGTTGCCATTAGGTGTGCCCAGAAGGGCCTTAGGGCCATCCCAATGGAATGCTGGTGTTGGGATCCTGCTGTGCGCTTAGGTGTGTGCAGAGACGAGATGAGGAAGGGAATTAGCTGCTGCGCACAGATGAGAAACTGTTAGGAATTAAGAGCAGAGAAGTGAGGTGTCACCTAGAGGTTGTGGGCAAGTCAAGGTGGTACTTCTGTGAGCACAGAACAAAGCCTCTGTGGTCCAGGAAATTCGGACTTACCTTATCAGCCAGAATGGAAGCTCACAGTAGACAGACATCTGTTGTAGTTACTGTGCAGCCTGCTGCTCCCTAGACATGGGTCCAGTTAACTGTTAAGCAGCTGGGGAGATAGCTCAGTTGGTAAAGTGCTTGCTAAGCAAACATGAGATGCTTAATTTGATCCTCAGCACCTAATATGTACAAGCCAGAAATAGTGTGAAATGCACAGGTCGGGGAGCCCTGGCATATACCAGAGATGCAAACAAACAGCCCCCCTTCTTTATACTGTGCCAGTTTGCATAGTACTTAGAACAGTGAGATCGTGTGCAGTTAGGGCGGAATTATTTACAGATGGCCAGGAGGCACTGGAGCAAGCGCCTCCAGTGGCTCTCCACCCTCTCGTATGAGAACATTGAGTCAACAGGTCCAGTCTTGAGGGTCCCTTGCTAGTAGTTGCAGCTGCTCTGATGAGATAAAAGCAGGCAACTTTCAGCTGGGGCTTGATGGGTCCTAATGGACCACCCTCGGCCACACCATTCTAGTATTTAAGTTCTAGGAGCATCACTGGGTCTGGTGACCAAAGAAACTGTGTTTGCTATGAAATGGATTGATGCATACTGTACTGTATGAGTATTTGAGTCTCTGGATGTTCAAAGCCGTGTCCTTGTGCTCTGCAACTGACAGGGAGTCTATATTGTACTTGAACTTGGAGCACCAACCAAGGCGGTCACTTTGGTGCAGTGAAGTTAACTCTGGCTCCCAACTAAGCTGGTGCCTTGGCGGTGCTCCTGCATGCCAAGCCCCTGACCAGCAGGTGGTGCTAGTACCGTTCTGCAGGTGAGAGTGTTAGCGAAGCATCTTGTCCTAAGGCATCCCATGAACTGGGATTTTAAACCTAGTTTCAGAGACAAAGCTGAAGCAGCAGTGGGCAGCTAATGAACTCCACAGGTCTCTGGAGTCATGATCAGTATCAGCTCTCACATCAAGCCCAGGTTTGGCTCCCAGCTCTATCTTTTCACAATGAGTCTGTCAGCTTGTGGTGTCTACCTGGTAGGGCTGTGAGAGCTAAGTGAACACAGGGTGGCTCTCGGTAACTACAGACTGCTTCCCTACTTTATGATGGCTGCCAGTAACACGGTTACAGTGCTTGACACCTATGGTGTTAAAGTTTGGCCTAACTTTCCCATCGTTGAGCCTGTCATTAAAGCTCATCAACCCAGCTGGCCATGGTGGTGGACACCTTTAATCCCAGCAAGGATCTCTGAGTTCTAGGCCAGACAGCCAGGGCTACACAGAGAAACCCTGTCTCCAATAAACAAAAAGAACAAAAGCTCATCAATCCAGGCAGGGAGGCAAGATAAAGCAGAATACATCCAAGACCGAAATATGAATGATTCCTCTGCCCCTCCACCCCACACTAAGAATTTGGATGGCACACTTTGGAAAGAGAGACTTATGCTTCTTGTTACTGGGGCAGGTTTTCTTTTTTTTCCTTGCATTCATCAACCCCAAGATAGGCAAGAGTCCTCTTTGCCCACCTCAGTGCACTGGTCTGTCCTCCCCCTTGCCTTACTCTGCACTGAGCCTCTGCAGTCTCCTTCCTTGGGAGCCTACATCCTGCCTTTGGCAGGCTCTGTGCTTCATTTGTGGTCTCTGTTCTCATCTAGCCAGAATGTCAGCATTGTCAGGATTCTGTAGAAGTTCCCAAAATAGAAGCTGTTTTTACTTTCCAGACTTTTGTTTTTATTTTAATCCCATCTTTGACTTTCTCCGCCCCCCACTAGTTCAACAGTGACTTAAGTACATATAAAAATATTTTTAATTTGGCATTTTGTTTTTTGCTTCTAAAGACTGGTCTGGAATCTCCCATTATTGGAACAGAAAAGGCCCTTTTGCATTAAATGTTCCTGTAGGAATGCCTGAATAGAAGCCATGTGTGAAGTACACCTTGAAAGATAGCCGTCAACTCTGAAATACTTTATCTCGTGTGTACGGCTTGTGCTCTTACATGTGGAAATCAGAACACAGCTTGCAGGGGTTGGTTGTTCTACCACGTGGGTCCTAGGGACCAAACTCAGGTCGGCTGTCTTGGTAGCAAATTTGTTTACCTTCTGAGCCACTGAGCTGTCTGGTCAGCCCTCACTTCCTTTAAGTCAAAGCACATGGAAATAATTTGCTCTTAGTGTCTAGTGGGGAGTGTGGAGAAGCAGGAAACCCCTTGGGTCTCTGGTAGCTGTGACCCAAAGGCAGGAAGAGGAAATCTAATGGGCTAGCAGCCCCGCTTTCTGGTCAGGAGGGTGGCTGGATTGCCTGCCTCCCCATTGGGTCTGATACAGCCTGTCAGAGGCTCCGGTGCCTGTTCAGGCCAGCAGGTAGAAATGAGGAACTGTTTTCTTCTTCCTTCCTGTTTTCCCCTTTCCTTTTTCCTTCCTTCCTCCTCTTCTCCCTCTCTCTTGCTGGAATTAAAGGTGTGCACCACCACCACTAGAAGGGAGCTGTTTTCATCTGAACACAGTTCACGTGAGATTTTGTTATCTAGGAATATACCTTCCTGGAAACCAAATGCTTCCCGCTATCGAGAGCATAGGAAAGTGAGTGTTGCAGAGAGCTTTGTTGTTTGTGTTTACTATGTGTTTTTGTCCATTGACCCCCTTTGATACAGAAGTATTGGCACAACCTATATACTATTTCAATAATCATTACAGAGTTCCCTATGAAAAATCACATGCTCATGTAACTTGAAAGTAAGGGCAACCATTGCATTGTTAAAGCAACAGCCCCAAAGGGCCAATGGGTGTGTTTATGGTTACAGGAGAGGTCTTTGCCATATCCAAAGGTAAAAATGTGAGGGGAAGAAGCTATGGCTATATAATTTTTTCAGAGAGAGCCGAAACACATGGAGAAAAGCCCATGACCAGTTGCTGGGAACTATGAGGAGGTTGCCCCTTGGGTTTGTGAATGCTCTGTGGACAAGAAGAAATGGAGAGGAAAAACACAGCATGTTATAAGATGCAAGCAGCTATGAAAATGTATAGCTTCTAACAACAGAACCAGGGACTGGAGAGATGACTCAGCAGTTAAGAGCACTGGCTGTTCCTCCAGAGGACCTGGGTTCAATTCCCAGCACCTACTTGACAGCTTACAACTATCTGTAACTCCAGTTCCAGGGGAGCTGACACCTTCACACCAATGCACATAAAGTGACAGTTAAAGTTTGAAAGCAACAGAATCACTTTAAGACACAGTAGTGGCTGCCTCTGCTTACTCAGATGGGCAGAGTTCTAGAATGATCTGGAGGGGTGAGGAGGCCAGGCTCAGCCCACAGACGTAAGAGATGCAGCTTGCTGTCTGACCCATTAGTTCTACCTAGAAAGCAACGCACAAGGAAGTCCACTCTTACATAACTGCATTCAGCACTTGATATCTGATGTGCTAAGCTCGGTTTCCTTCAGTAGATCAGATGTGCTCTAGTTCAACAGAAAGCTAGACAACACAGATGTTTAAAATGATACAAAATGGGGCACTGGTGCGGGCAACATAGCTCACTCAGCTGGGAAAGAGCTTTCTTTACTTGCACCGGTACTGAGTAAAACTGGCATGATGGCCCATGACTAATCCCAGCATTGGGATCATGAAGTTCAGGGTCATCAGGTCAGTCTGGGTTAGATCAGACCCTGTCTCAAAACACAAAGTATTTATAAGGATAAATACTCAGAATGTAGTTAGGGATGATGCTGGTTTAGTAAAGTGACGACTGAGCTCTCCAAACATACACATTATACATAACATATGGACTGAGCAGGTTGTATTTATATATCTTGGAATACACACACACACAAAGGCTATGATTTGAAAGAGCAATGGGAGTGTATATGGGCAGGGTTGGAGGAGGAGTGATTACCTCAAAAGCAAAAAATTAAGGGGGCGTGGTCAGCAAGATGCTTCAGTGGGTAAAGTGATGTGCGAGCCTGTGAGCCTGGATTGGATCCCTAGAATC